GGGCGGTGGGGTAGCCTAGTGGTTAAAGCGTTGGCTCGTCACGCCGAAGACCCGGGTTCGATTCCCCACATGGGCACAATGTGTTAAGCCCATTTCTGGTGTCCCCCGCCGTGATATTGCTGGAATATTGCTAAAAGCGGCGTAAAACTAAACTCAGTCAGTCAGTCTCCCATTTTGATAATATAAGGCTTCCAAAGAGGCTGTCACTGTGTTCCCTATGGGAATGCCAATAACAAATAATCTTTGTTGATAATGCTTGTATAAGAAGTCAAGTAAAATGGGTATTTGATGTTTGCAATCTGCTGTGTCCTTCCATGATGACTGGTGGACTCTTGGAAACTAAAGGCTAGGATGTTGCCAATGTGACTTTAATGCTTAGCATTCTGCATGCAGGTTGAGATAAGGTTGTAACATTGCTTACTGGTGTAAATCAGTTCACTCAACTTGTCCTGAAATATGTATTATCAGTTTCTTCGCAAATTCAACTCATAAAGACACTATCTGATTCTGCAGTCATCAGTTCATTTAATTAGTAAGTTTAAGGGATAATTATCACTTGATGGTGCTTATAAGTACCTTATGACATCTGCCCTGTCGACTGGCCTGAAGGTTGCCAATGTAGCTCAAGTCAATTTGAGTTGTGTGTGTTAAGTTATATCAGTCCTAGTGTTAAGTTTGATCATGGTTCCAATAAGATGTAATTGTTGATTTGTACTGGATGTATATTCAGATCTGAGAAGTCTTCTACCCCTGAAGTGCTGACTTTGACTGCTGATTACTATACTATTGCACAGTGTGCAAGTTCAAGTCGTATATTTATCATTGATACTTGCTACTGATTTTCAGAATTATACATATTGATTGTTGCGAGAGTTTTGTATGTAAAAATGTGTATGTGTATGTGTTATGCTGAATGGAATGATATTACAAACATCAAATCAAAATCCTTTGTTACTCTTCTTTTCATCTTCAGCAATCCATGCTTGTCCTTAGAGGGGACTGTTGGGTTGGGATGGATAGACTCACATTGTTGTTCCATGTCCTGCTATGTTAATTGTGCAGATCAATGTTTATATCAATCACTGGTTTGTCTCATCCAGACAATCTTCAGTGATCATATAGACAGAACATTGCTGAAGGTGGCATGAAACAACAAACAAACTTTAATGTGAATATTTAGATACAATTTCAGCTGATTTATCTGGAGCTAATATACACAACCCAAAACAGTAAGGTAAAAGATCTGATGGATCCATTTGGTTTGTTGAAGGGGCTTTATTCACAATGAAGTCCTTTGTTTGATTCCCACATGCATACATAGTGAGAAGCCTTATCCGTGTCTTGGTATTGCTGGAATATTGCATGTTGGTATTGCTGGAATTGACATAAACCATAGTCTCACTTAGGCTTTTTCACAACATAGCTACCTACTTGAACATTGAATCATTTCAAACTTCAATTGTATTGTTCACAAAAAATAACTGCCCCACTGATCACCAACGTCCCAGTTCAAGTCAAGGTGCATTGATCATATATTTGAAGAAAACGACTCAACTCCAAAAACGACCATGAAGACACAACACAAGAGAAAGGTATCCCCTTGCTCTGCCACATGTTAAAAACAGTTTCAGTCGTTCCTGGAACAGTCTTGAAGACGGGGCCATACTAGAAAGCCTGTCCTGTCTGCAGCACCAGAAGTTAACCAGAGAATCCAAGGTAAAGCGCCGACTTAGTGTAATATTGCTATAAGTAGACATTCCCCAGGAGAGAATACATTCTTTTATCATTTAGAAACAGTTTGCTGGATTCCATATCTTCCTGTATTATATGTCGTGTCAGGTGTTTAAGTGAGGGGTATGGTACTATAATATGACCAGAAATTATTGAGAATTTTAGGAATATGTTTAATTGGATTTCTAGTATAAACAACCTTGACCAGCTATCAAGTGCTTGGTTTCATTCAAGAGACAACTCCGTTACTCCTTTTTCAATAGTTTGTGAAGAGTTATCCTCCTTTGTTTACTTGCTAGCAGACGACATTTTCAGTGATCATCAGTATGGATGATTTAGAGAAGAGGAAGTTGATTTTAGAGTATTATAACAAGGACATCAGATCAGCTAAAGTGATTTCAAGTAGAACAGGCATCCCTTTGTCCACTGTTTATCGTGTTTTGAAAAATATTGCAAATGGATATGGCGTTGAGCACCAGGGAGGCGCAGGTAGGCCCAGAAAATTGACTGTCGGTGACAGGAGGCGCCTTGGTATTCTTGTTTCTAAAATCAAACGAAGGAGTTTAGAAAACCTAAGGCTGGATATGATTGATAGAGGAACTGTGGCTGTCTGTAAGGAGACAATTAGAACTGAGCTGCATGCAATGGGTTGGCAGAAAAGTCGAGGAATTCCATCACCGATCATGAAACCTGAGCAAAAGGAGCGAAGGTTGAACTGGTGCTTACAGCATAGAAATTTTAACTGGGACAATGTGATTTTCTCAGATGAAAGTTCTGTGTGGCTGTTTCCTAATACACTGAAATTCTGGACCAAACAAACTGAAAAACCTTTGTATCAGCGCCCAAAGTACAGTCCGAAATTTAACGTGTGGGGTGGCATATCTGTGGTAGGGGCAACGCCCCTCTGTGTATTTGAAGGGAATATGAACAGTGAGCGGTACACAGATATTCTCGAGGGACATTTACTTCCATCTGCTCTCGTGTTCTATGGAAATTTTTGGATTTTCCAGCAGGACAACGACCCAAAACATCGTTCAAAGCATTCACAGGCCTGGTTTGGGACCCAAAATATGACATTATTAGATTGGCCAAGCTACAGCCCTGACCTAAATCCAATAGAAAATGTTTGGGGACTTATGAAGGAAAGTGTCAATAAGAAAAATCTGACAAATATTGCTGAAATGAAAGAAGAGGTGGTCCGATATTGGGACAGCATGGACCACGACTTTCTAACTTCTTTGATCAGTAGTATGCCCCGCCGCATTGAAGCCTGCATTGCTGCCCATGGTGACTTGACAAAATACTAACTGTTCACCTGTCTTTGAATCTGGAGTTATGTTCTGCTAATATTTACATTTAATACGTGAGTAATGAGTGAAATTCTTTTTAAAATTACAATCTTTAAACTCTCAATAATTTCTGGTTGTACTGTATATTCAATTTATTTAAGAAAAATTCTTTAACCGTTCAAAGTGAGTTATTCATGACATTTCTAAGGGCTTGACTGGTTAAGTCGACAGGTACTTTGAAAAAACCTTAACCTTACAAAAACAAAATAGTGTGCATAACTTTGGGGGTACACGAACCAGTTTTGAGTTGGTTCACTTAAACGTAAATCGAAACGGGACATGAAAGGATGGATATAAATCAAAGGGTATACAAAATGTGTAGTCTCAAGCAGTTCGACTGCCAAACACACCTTACGGTGAGGGCGTCTTGGGGGCTCGGGGGCTATGGCGCCGGAACTCACTGTTAAGCTGATTCCCTTGTCATGAACAGGATCTACTGTTAAAACGTGTACATGAGTTTAATGAAAGTGGTAAATATCGAAACGCTTTAGATCTGCGTCATTTTGTACATGAGTCCCACACAGAGCGTCGTCAGACCTCTTTACTTCCGTATCAGTTGAATTAGCTGTTAAAATCCCATCAGAGTCGCTCAATATGTATTCCTTTGTACGAGCCAAACGAAGGCGAACAATGTTTTCACTCACGTAATGGCACATAGAGATTATGAGCTGAATGTGTTCTCGTATCTTAAATATGATTTATGTATTTGGATTAGAAAATGTATTGTGCAAACCTCTGATCAAATGTTATGAAGCTATAACGAGGACAAGGACGAGACATTTGAAACCCCACTGCATATTGGGCACGTTTGTCACTAGTTAACGAACAGAGATATGTATGGTGCTTCAACGTTGTTCCTGAAAGCGACCTTATCCGTATATTTAGATCATGATCCTTATATTACTCTTTATCTAAAAAATAAACCCGTGAAGATCCGGGTTAGAACTGATCTTCAGCAACTCATCCTTGTCGGGGATCGGGTAGTCACGCTCACTTGACACATGTCATCGTATCCCCATTGCGTATAGATCAATGCTCATGCTGTTGATCACTGGGTCGTCTGGTCCAGGCTCGACTATTTTCAAAACGCCGCCATATAGCTGGAATATTGTTGCGTGCATGCGGCGTTTAACAACAAAAGAACCAATCAACCAACTAAAAATAACACAATTCTATATGTGACAAACTATTTGAAAGTGTTTATATTTTATTTGATAAACTTCAGAACGTATAACAAGTAAAGAAATTAACAGATTTTCAGCACAAAAACTGGACTCATCGTTTCTGTAGTTACATCCGGTTAATGTCCGGATAAACGAATAGTAAGTAGTAGTGTATTGTTAGCTATGTATATAAACTGCCGGGCAGAGGGAAATGTACACTTGAAAACTTCAGGGTTGTTGAATGGTCTTGGCTGAAAACAGTTCCCGAAACACTGCAAACGTTCGGTTCAAACTCAACTATGATATTCGTATCAAATATATGACCATTTCTTGATTGTTTCATTTTAACCACCATCCTTTTGCCCGAGAGTTTCGTTCGTAGACACATTGTCCGGAATGTAGACTATCAGGGTTAACAAGCTTCCGCTATATCTTTAGATGGGATACCATTTTCTCGTTAAACTAAGTCAATGTTGCTAAATGGAACTATCATCAAATAAAAGGCAAGATCGCGTGTCTAAACCATGTCAGGAACCACGACTGATCCAATTCAAGACTCCCATTCAATGTTTGGTGCTCTGAACTCTTCTACTTCCAAGGCTTTGCATATATTCAAACAAGATCTACCATCCAAACCTGGGCCCTTATTCTCGAAACGTTCGTAGCCCTAAGAATTCTTAACTTTGATCGTAGCCAATGTGTTAAGAATGGGCTTAAGAAGTTCGTAGGGCTTAAGAAGTTTTGAGAATAGCCAGCCAGGCCCCAGAAGACTTGTCTTAAACACTGTAGAGACAGTATGGGCTGCACGCCTGGCATCAGACAGTGGATGTTGCTCGTGCTCTCGACCACACGTTTGCCAGTTTCGAATTCCTAGACAGATTTGTCTTGACATGTTATAGCATGACAACCTACTGAAACTGAGCACTGACGGCCTTCTTGAAGGCGGGCCTGCCCTCGAGTCGACTAACATAGTTTTGCACCTCAGGGTAATCTTTCAGCAGCGATCCCTCGTTGAACATCTTGTCTGACGCTGCCCACACGCTGTACCCCAAGATGCAGTCGGCAGCTGTCAACCTGAATAGATTTAAATAGTTTTATACATCATCCTCGATCGATTAAACAGGGTACTGAAGGGCCATTCCATTTTGATACTTTCGACGTCATTGTCACCCAGACATTTAAGAAGTGACATAAAATTACCTTCATACCACACATTCTTCTCGCTCATAAGTGAGTGAGTGAGTGAGTTTAGTTTTACGAGGCACTCAGCAATATTTCAGCTATATGGCGGCGGTCTGGAAATAATCGAGTCTGGACCAGACAATCCAGGGATCAACATTAGGAACATTGATCTACGCATGTGGGATACGATGAAATGTGTCAACCCAGTCTGCGAGCCTGACCACCCGATCCTGTTAGTCGCCTCTTATGACAAGCATGCATGGGTTGCTGAAGATCAATTCTAACCCGAACCTTCACGGGTTTCTCGCTCATGAGTGTAATCAGATTTGGTGGTATGTCTGAGAAGGAGAACAGCTGCAAAGCTCAAACTAGTTCTAGTTTTCTAGGAATTTCAACTGCTGAAAACCAAAACTCCCTATTTGCTTCTGCTGTCTGCTCCTTATGAAATTCAGCCCTGCCTACAGGAGTAATTTTCATAAATGCACTTCCATTTTGTATACCAGTTGCACCCATATATTTTAGTGTTAAATACCTAACATGTACAGAGAATCACAACTCATAATATTTATTTATATTTCTCTGAACCTACATGTCGCCACAGATAAACGGTCTTCCTTCTAGGGCCTTCGTGAGCCGCTTCATGCAGGCGTCCATCTTTGCCACCATCTTTTCTATGCCCTGCGGGTCGGGTTTTTCTGGTTTAACGGCCCACTGCCAATACAACAGCTCCATTGCCTCGTCTATTGTCGCGCTAGCATACAGTGCCCAACTGGAAAAGGAAGAAAAAAGTTAAACGCAATTTAAACTAGGACCATGCCTTCGGATGCCGGCTAGGAGTGCGGCGAAAAGCGCAAGAACTGGAGGACAGGCAAACCAGTCCAAACACACTTTCGCGCGCTCTTTCCAACCACTGTCTAATCCAAAACGAGATTTGAATGTCCTCTTTTCAATGCATCCGACTCTTGTACCCGTTAAACCTTGTTTTCCCAGTAACGTTCAGTCGAGGTTGTATCCCAATTGTGTAGATAGATGTTCCTGCTGTTGATCACTGGATTGTCTGGTCCAGACTCGATTATTTACAGACCGCCGCCATATAGCTGGAATATTGCTGCATGCGGCGTTAAACAACAAACAATTAAGGGACCGTTCATAATTTATGGCTAGTGGGGTTGATGATGATTTTAGGACGGGGGGTGTCACCCATTTTTTTCTGGGGAGGTAGGGGGTCATCAATTTTGTATACATGTACTAGGGTGGGGTCAGCAATTTTGTACACAAAAATATTCAAAATCTATGCTTACAAAACAAGGGGAAAGGTGGGGTCATTGATTTTGTACATGACATTCAGGGGTGGTTGGGGGGTTCCACTTACTTTGTACATACATTTTAGGGGTGGGTGGGCGTTGTGGCACTCACATCGTACCAAATCAATCCCAACTCTCTCTCTCCCCACCCCCCTCCCCCCGTGATGCTTAACTTCAGTAAAGTACTATATACTAAAGTACTGTCGGAAATAGAAAAAAAACTGTTTTTAGGCTGTGACTCTGTATCCCTAAAATGTACACAATTGCAAATAGCATATGTTGAAATAACCAACATCGGCATAATTGAGCGTTCAGTAGGATGCGCAATAGGATATCCAGAAAAGCAGGTTTACACGTAAAAGCGGGCAAAACTTAGAAAAAATACGAATAGCTGCTGAAAACAAAAGATCAGACAATAGAGGCAATTAGGTCGGTCAGCCATGTATCACGACGGACCGTCGACTCACCTGGCATGAAAAGCATGTGCTGCATACAGGCACGAGGGGTCATCTCAAAGATACTTTATGCTTTTTCATGTGAGTTGTATATGTCTCATCTATTGATTAACATCTTACGTGTCTTTGTTTCATGATATGTATGTTGGGATATGTAAAAGAGTATGATACCCATAGAAAAGCTTAGATCAGCCATCGTATTAAATGGTTCAAAATATATAGGTGACATGACCACCCGATGATCGACAGGACTGGTTATTATTTGCAAATTGTTGACATGCCGATTACTTCCCCAGTTTAATTCCCCTAAAGGATTATCTCATCTTAGCTGATATCTCTATCCCCTAGCCCGACTCCCACCACCGTCTGCGACACCCGTCCTGGTTTTGCTTTTGAGACGACCCTTCCTACCTGTTTCTTTTTATAGTGATAGCGAGACTCCTTGGTAGCTACATCCTTAATAGTTTCTGTCTTAAAATTATTATTTTTTTACGTCAGCTATCGTTTATAATGAAGCTAATTTTAATTTCAAAATGGGCATTTAAAAAAGTTTCCTTTGTAACACAATATCATCGCACACAAATGTGCATAAAGACATGATCCGTTCCACAAAAGTCGCTTTCGTCTTAGAAAAAAACTGCAGTGCTCATTTCTGCACTAATCTCTCCTCAGTAAAGTCCTTTTTCTACGTTTCCTATCTCCCTACCACTGAGACTGTAGTTAGGCCGATCTTAGTTTAACAGATATGTCACATTTTCACATATTAACTACAGAAATTGTAGATATATATGCGAAAAAAACACAGTTATTTTTCTATTTCCGACTGTACTTTAGTATACATTTCGTCCACTCACTCATAGTATTCAAGCCGCTGTCCGATGGGAGGAGCCAATTTGTCGTAACGGTCTGCCAGGTACAGACATATCGCCCCCGACTCGATGATCACACCCTCACCCTCTACCTGTAGGGCGGGGATGGTCCCATGGGGGGTGGACGGACCGTTTATATTCCTCGTATTCTGCGCTGTCTTTCCCCTTAATGGAGTCCAACTTCACAATTTCGAAATCGTCCACAGCCTCAAGCTCTGCAATTCATGACCAAAATAGGCATGGTTTGTAGTTTGTATCTGCTGTAACTCAAAACATATTCAAATGTTCGTCTCGGTCTGCCATCCTAAAATTAATTATTTTTTTTTTTATTGTATAACAGTAAATGCATGGCGATAACTGAGTGAGTGAGTTTAGTTTTACGCCGCTTTTAGCAATATTCCAGCAATATCACGGCGGGGGACACCAAAAATGGGCTTCACGCATAGTGCCCATATATGCATGTGGGGAATCGAACCCGGGTCTTCGGCGTGACGAGCGAACGCTTTAACCACTAGACTACCCCACCGCCCCAAATGGCGATAATAATGATAATGTGCATATAGAGCGCCAAATCACACACTCAAAGCTCTACGTACATCATTAACCTGGTCACTGAAAATAACACACAACAGAAGACCCTGGTTAGTCATGATCTTCAGTGTCCTATGCCTGATGTAACGGGAACGAGATCGGGTGTCTGTGACGTGGTTGATGTATGTCATCAATGCACGTGGTGTCAATCACTGAATTTAATTATTATCATAGTTACAGACCGCCGCCAAATTGTTCTAACTGCGGGGTGCGGCGTTAAACAACAAAACAAACACAAACGACTCAACGCTCAAGAAACAAAACAACGCAAACTGCGAGAGTGGAAAATATGTTCGACTCAATCGAGTTCGACACAACGAAGTTCACCTGCAGTTATTATATAAGGCCTATATGATAACAGCAGCTGAATGGACAGCATATAATCACTCCGTGTGAAAGCTCAATATTTAGCGACGTCACTGTTCGTGTTGACCAGTCGCACGCATGGCCACCCGCCGATTTCATCCCAAATGATAACGTGCCCCCGAAACTGTTACACAGAATACCCATGTGTGTCTGTACACTCACCCCGTACAGATAGTTACTTACCGTGTATCAGCCACATACACCTGAACGATCTGTACATTGGACACTGATACAGCTTCATAGTTGCACGTTTTGCTTTCTTCGCCTCGTCAGCCATGACTTCTGGAAAACGGGTGACAAAATGTCCCGCGCTTTCTTCCTTTTGAAACCGGGTCAACCTGTGTACATACTGTGTCAAGGTCTCACTAAGCAGCCAACCGTGCAGTATACAAGGCTCACAGTCATGATGACAGTGAATAGATCTGAAAAATGTTTGTAACTCTGGTAGTTTTACGATAACAACATATACTTCCCATCTGTTATCAGAAAAGACGCTTCAGCAAATGTTGAATTTCTATTTCGAATGGACGGTTTTGGCATGGATTTAGAAAATATCTTGCAGTGTTTGCGTAATGTGGAAAACCTTACCATTAAAGGTTTAATTAACGCGAAGCCTTAGGACTGCACGCACGCGCAGGCAGGTAGGTACGCACGCACGCACGCACGCACGCACGCACACACGCACACACACACAGAAGAGATATAATGTACTGGTGCATGATTCTTTCTGTGTTAAGTTTAAATTATAAATAACTATTTAGCTAAAACTGGGTTTTTCCTTCTAATATGTCCTGTTTATACAACTCTACGAAAGAAATACCTCTTAAGCCATACTATTATAAGCATCCAAGTGTAAGAAAATTAATTTCACTGTTAACAAATATTGCCACATTATTATTACAGAATCTGGCAATGTACATCTACATATATGAGTTTAAGAAAAAGGACTGTTATAGAAAGGAATTTGTAAATGACTTCTAATTACTCATGTAAAGTTTAAATGTACTACAGGCCTGTGGCCTTTTTTAAGTATACTGAATAAAGATTGACGAACTGGGTTTTTAATGCACATAATTAATACACGAACATACTTGTGTTTCATTGCTAACATATCTGAAATCCAAGGGTTACGTACAGTGTATATATGGATATTAATATTAAATATGTTCATATATCTGTTATTGTTATTTTGCATCTTTTCAATAAACCCGCGTCCACCTGCCTGAAAATATTGTCAATAATCATCAAGAGGAAAATATCATATAAATAATGATGAACAAATATTTCATTCTCTTCATTTTATTAATGAATGAAACATATCTGAATAATTTCAGTTCGAATGATGCTGAGATAAAAAGGCTGGTGTTTCCAATGAAGACGAGAAACGTGTGATACCAGCCTTCGATATTTCCGTGCCTGCACAACGGAAGTCATGATGGCTGATGTTGAGATGCATGCTGGGTAATCTTCAAACATGGCTGCCATCTTGAGAAACGTGAGGAGTGTAAGCAGCATTGCTGCTGTCTCGTTACGTACAACTCTGCCAAGAGTCAGTGCGATTGCACTCCTTCATAGTACACAGTCAAGATGCATGCATACCCCATCTCTTCTATCCAATGTCACACTCACAAAGGTATGAAAACTAGTAACCGGTGCGCTGGTTGTGATTGACATCGTTGACATTGAAAAATGAAATCCATCTCCGATGCTTGTGTGTTTTCGTGTATCTCGTATTTCTAAATTCTGTTCAGGCGCTTGTACAAGTTATGCATCGATAGTGCATTGGGGAAATGGCCCCAAAAAGTTCATTTTGATGTCTGTTTAATGAAAAGGGGTGGTATAGTAGGTTACTATGTTATGTATCGTTCATTTAGTCCGAATTGGACCCAAGCCTGCAACGGACACAAACCACGAATTTCGTCTTTGGTAGAGTAAGAAGTAACGTTTGTAAAATTTCTATCAAAAGTTTAGATACGATTCCCTAACCCTACGGATCGTAAAGGGTGCCAATACCCTTACCCTAAACCTAAGGATCGTAAAGGGTTGTTTGACTGTAAAGATGTGTCAGCTCCCTAAGGATCGGAAGGGGTGCTAACTCTAAACCCTAAGGATTGTAAAGGTTCCCTAACCCTAACTCAAAGGATTGTAAAGAGCGCCATACCCTAACCCTGTGCATCATAAAGGGTTGTTTGACTCTAAAGATGCGTCAGCTCCCTGAGGATGGGACTGGCAAGTGAAGGGAGACGGAGCAATTACCGCGATATAGCAAGACAGTGCTGGAGGTAGCGCTATAGCGTGAAAATTGCCCCTGCAATCGGCAGCGAGGGCTGTGCACGATAATGTGCACTCTAGCCCGATTCTTTAGTAACACACCATCCATTATGTTGCTTTATTTACGAGGAACATCTGTTTACCATGGTGGTTCACTGGATGGTTGTTTTTGAATCATTGAGCCTCACGTTACATTTAATAATATATGTATGGCTGGTACAAATTATTTTGGATATACATAATGAACATGGTAATTTTGTTCATAGAACCAGGTATTTGTGGTTTGTTTGATGCAAGTAATACATTTGGTGAGAGGTAGAATTATCCACTGTGTGTATCCAATAAACTATTTATTTACTTCGTACGGAAAGGGCCATCAAACAATCAGTTCACTTTTTTTATAAGTAATTGATAGTAGACGTTTGTTTTTTTTGCCACAAAATATGTATTTTCTTCACTTTATTTTTGGCATATTTCTGACTAAACTTTTCTTTTACTAATTGTTAAAGAGAAAATTGTTCAACGTGAAATATATAATATGAGCATTTGTTTCTTCTGCTAGTTGTGGTAGGAGTCTTAATACTTTTATGAAGAAGCTGAGGCAATACTAAACATTCTGTCACTTAACAGGTTGGCGTGAATGTTACCAACTTCTCAACTGCCACCACTATCACCTCAGTGGAAGAGATCCAGCAGAGAGTCCTCAATGTCCTCAAGCTTTATGACAAAATCAATGCAGAAAAGGTACTGAGCATTTTCATCTCTCATTTCAGAACACGGTCAAAGATGTCAGGTTGTACAGCTCCAAGCCTCCTCTCACTATTGAAATGATACAAGAAAGAGTATTGCTGGTTTTGAAACTGTATGACAAAATTAATCCAGAAAAGGTACAAAAATCATTTATTTTCCCTTTGCATAATAATGCTTAATTATAAGTTAATAACAGTGACAGTAACTAATACCAAGGGACTGGTCATTTTATATTTTGATAAAGGTAATTTCTTCCTCAAAATGGGTCATGCATGACCCTGTTATCTTATTTCCAAGAATTCAATGTGTGCAGAGTTGCATCCCTTTTAGCACACCAGGAACCTATAAGTATGAGTTAAAATTCTGTTTTGCCCTGCTGTTTCCAGATTTGTAAGCACCATACCTGTGCTTATAGATGTTTTTTCCCAAAAGTGGTAAATGCACAAGGCTTAAAGTGTTTTGCCCACATTATGCTGCCATCCATAATATAACTGGAATATTGTTTTGAAACAGAGTTAAACCTACTCAATCATGCATTAAAAAAATATGAAACAAAACTCACTTTGCCATATATTTTACTTCTGGCAAAAACAGCATCTTTTTAAATAGATGCTCAGAAAAGAAATGTGTTGGGAATATATAAAGTAATTGTTACGTTCTACTCCACTATTAAATGCTCATTCTCTTCATCTTTTACAAATATTTGGGAACAGGATGCAGGAGGCCTGTTTTCAATAAGCAGATTCCTTTGGTAGTTTCATTAAACAGTGATGTTCTGGTTTCAGCTCTCCTTGGAAAGCCACTTCATGAATGACTTGGGGCTGGATAGTTTAGACCAAGTGGAGATAATCATGGCCATGGAAGATGAATTTGGTAAGTTGTGTTGAAATTTATGCTAAAAATTCAGATATCTTTAAGATTTCCATTGTCGTAATGATACCCCAAAACATTTGAGAGGGGATTAAGGTACCATTCAATGCAGTGCTATTGCCTAAGACAACCCCCTTGACTTGTTTATGGATTGGGACTGTACAGTATTACTGGTACACTGCTATATGTTTTTCATATGATATGTATTGCAGCATTTTTGTTGTTTGATTTATTGGGTAGAAAAATGGAATAGGTTTTGTCATTATTTAAACTTTGAACCTTAAATTTAAGCTGAAATTCATTCACAAATGATGTTCAAAACAGCCCAAACATGGAAGTGATGTTTCTTTCTTATTGTTATCTCCCTTGTGTCCATGTCTACTTATGTGGCTGTAACTTTTCATACTGAGTAATGCACGTTTGGTTTGTAGAAATTTGAGTAAATCACATCTCTCAAATCACAATGCATATCATGATACAAGTACATGTATTTCCGACCCGTGAAGGTCCAAGTTAGAATTGACCTTCAGTAGCCCATGCTTGTCGTGAGAGGCGACTAACGGTATCAGGTGGTCAGGCTCGCTGACTGAGTTGACATATGTCATCAGTTCCCAATTGTGTAGAATGTTCTTGCTGTTGATCCCTGGATTGTCTGGTCCAGACTCGATTATTTACAGACCACTGCCATATAGTTGGAATATTGCTGAGTGTGGCGTAAAACTAAACTCACTCGCATGTATTTCCATTTATTGTGATACAGCTATTTGGCCATTGACACAACCAATACACTAATAACACCCTGAAATCTGTCACTTAAAGGAGGGTATCTGATCAGTCGTGGATATCACACACACACACAATTTATGCCATTGGAACAAATTTAATTAATGATTATGTTTTTCAGGATTCGAGATCCCTGATGCCGATTCTGAGCGTCTGATGCGGCCAAGAGACATTGTACAATATATAGCAGACAAAGAGGATATTTTTGATTAGAGAAAATGAGAGGAATTGTAAGTTATTGAAGAAATGATTCCATCTTTTCTGTATATCAGACACCAGTAGGAAAGGTATATACCTTCACTGAAAATTCCCAGGTTAATTGCTTTCTAATGTAACCATGCAGTCTAGATGATCAGTGTAAGCTGTTGTTGTTTTCAGTGGTTCACCAATTATTTTTAACCAGGATTTTGTTGGAAAACACACATAGATTTTCAGCAAACAGAGACTTTACCATAAGGCCGATATGACAAATACATTACTGAACATACTGAAAAGTAACAATAAATCATAATAGAAAAAAATGTTTTATAGATCCAGAGATCATGCTATCAATGTCTGTATTTGTTTACCTTTTAGAAAGTGTTTTATAGATCCAGAGATTTCTCTAAGAACCTGAAAAGGAAAGATCAGGGACTTCTTTCATGAAGCAACCTTTACTAAGGTTAACCTTAACCCCCATTCTTTAACATTGCACTAAGGTTCCCTTAGTTACTTACGATCACCTTAGTGTTTTGTGAAAGGGGGCCCAGGATTCTGGGTTAGTGTAGGTCCTCGCAATTTGTGCATGTCAGTTTTGACTACATGGATTGGATGGTCAAGTTTGGTTTATTGCGTGTCGCTGTACCCAAACACAGTGAACATTGCTGGATTCACTGCCCATAAACGTGGTATGGATTTTAACTCAGATTACCAGCTTCAGGTTCGCAGTTGCCTGCTAAGGGATGTGTTACCAAGGTTATATTGTTCAGAATTACGGTGAATAGCAGAGTTAACAGTCTGTGGCATGCATTACTCGCTAACTTGGTAGTCTTAAATTATCCGTCAGACACCAATTTGTGGACTATTTAACATGTTTAAGAAGAAACTGTTAATGGTTTGTTAAACAAATTTGATAATCTTTTGTTCGATTTGGTTTCCAGATGTTTTAGTGCTAACCCAAAGGAAGATGTTTGCAGCTCTTTGAGGACAGCTATACAAATATGTCCTCTCTTCACTAGAATGGTGTGACGATCTGTGTATTATTACTTGTACATGTTTGCTTGGAATAAATCATGTTGTATGAAATCATTCATGCGTTCTATATTTTCTGATGAACTATGCCACCATAACAGTTCATAATAAACAGATTAGCCAGTGTTCAGGAGGTTCAATCAGTGTGTTATTGTACCGAACTGGATGCGGAGGGAGACATGTGAAGGTGGTCTGTTGTTTACTCCTGCCAAATATTCTTTCTACCTACATTAAGCAACAACAACAACTTTATGTTCAGACTACAAGATCCGTTACTGTTCATGTTATTCATTCAATCCAGAGCACCTGTTTTATGAATTATTTGACAGTGGAATGGCAGCCCAGCAGAGACTGATGACAGCATACAATCACAGCATCAACACTAATAATTATTTACACTACTCATCCAATGCATGGTACAGTAATCAGTAGGGCTGTAAGATGCATCAAACTATTAATGAATTCCAATTGTTGAGTCTCCGATAGCAATTAATCGATGGTAGAAACGAAAAACTTTTGGTGCATTCGATAGTAATTGTGACTATCAATAGTTGAGTAACTGACTTTAATTTACTAAAATATTTATGTTGCACTGTATTGTTTTTATTGTTTGCAGACTAACAGCTTCACTGAGCTTGTGTTAACGGTTTACTTGGTCTGGGCTTCAAGTTTCTTGTCAGTTATTAAGAGAGACTGATGCTACTTCAAGTTGTTTTTATTTCAAAAACTATACTGTACATTCATTTGGGAAATGACCTCAAGGAGAAAAGAACCCATCGCAATAGTATAGACTATCGGTATCCGAAAAGTATGTTGCAATTGACCATCGCTTTATGTTCTAGTGCCTTACTTCCCCAGGCAATTGGATCTACCAAGTGTAACTACATTTCCTGAGAATATGAACGGTCAATTATAGCATTATTTCTTTTATCATATAATATTCATCGTGTTGGTTTAAGTTGCAGTTGTGTCAAGGCGAGGAGCTGGTAGAGTATATGTATTTCATGTCCCATATGTCCAAAGATTAAGATTTTGCTTCAATCCAAATCCTGGCACTGCATTCTGTGACATTGCAGTGATTGCATAGGCTTCTTAAATACTCACAAGCACCATGGATTCTTTTCTTTCAATAAACTGCTTTGAGATGAAGATGAATGCGATTTTGTATTATATTTATCATCATTGCAGCTGAGGATGATTTTCACAGGTTGAGGACCTCCCAGGCCCCCTCTCCCAACGGACTCTCCCTGTCCCTAATCCCGAAGGTCATCGATAGGTTGAAGTTGGTTGGATGTGTCCACTTGGTTCCACTAAACAGACAGAAGAACCATTGCAACTAAATATAGTTTAAAACAAGTGATCTTTGTTCAGACATTTAGACTTGATATTGTATGCCATAAATTGCAAGGAAGCTTCTAGCAATCAGTACCTGTTATAATAAACAACACTAAAAGAGTCCAAGATCTTTTGGATATCAACATCTTTATTTGTTCAACACAATGTTTCGGATTTAATTTTTACACTTTCCTGTCTATGCCTTTCAAAGAAAACACTGACAATGTGACACTCATTAATCAATCACTCACAGAGCGAACGGTGTCATTCTGAAATGTAGGATAACACAACTTTCAGTACTGAAAACGTCATTTGCCAACCCCCTGGTATTATCGCGCCGCCTCCGTGGTGTGGTTTGAGCGTCCGCCCGGAGAGCGGAAGGTCGCGGGTTCGATCCCCGACCGCGTCATACCAAAAGACGTTAAAATATGGTACTTGTTGGTCCCTGCCTGGCGCTCGGCATTAATGGGTTCAAGGACTTGTCGGCTCGGAGTCAGTATACTGTGTCTGAGTCGGGTATTCATGCTTCACTGCGGCATGGTATCTCAGTGGGCTAGCACTATAAAACCAGCTTAAGTCTGGGCTAGTACAAGCAGCCGCACATACACTCGCATGCACGTCGTCATATGAGGGAAACATTCTCAAGCACGACGTTAAACCCAATTTCACCTCACCTCACCTGGTATTATCGCTATTTGATAGTTACTTTTAACAACATGTTCATGATAAAGTCATAACCTTACATTGTAATAGAGTACAAATTGTCCAGTTTGTGTGATCTTTCAAGAATGCAATTTTATTAAACTATCATTTAATACTGATTTCAATTATGTAAAACATCTATTTCCTCACCATAAGTGCCCCAGTGTCTTCACGATCACAGATCACCGTCAACCCCCCTTCTATAGTTTGCCGCTGTTACAGGTCATTGGCTCCCTCCCTCTGCAAGCCTTCTGCGTCCTGCTGTTTATTTTGTTGACAGTTACATAGACAGATTCTTTTATTCAAATGCATAAAATCGGTGATTTACAATGTGATTAGGTTGTCTGACAAAACATCCACTTGCACAGTTTGAGATCGATTGGGTCATTGGATGAAGAGATATTTACAAAAAACCGGGTCCACATGCATTTCATGCCAAACTATACTCCCTGCCCGACTCCTTGCCCTCCTTCCCCGTCCCTGCCTCCAGAGCCCGTCCTCAAGTTGTAGAGATGGATCTTGGTGAAGAATCCAAGCAGCCCCAGTCTTGCTCGACTGTCTTTGTGTCTTGTGTGAAATACCTTTCCAGGGTTTCTTCACAGAGAGATAGACTTTGGATTTCTTGTTTCTGTCACTGTTGTTTGACCTATCAGTTTTTGGACCTTTTAGACGAACCGTATTTTGGACTGTTTTGGCTAATCTCCTTAAAATATACACGTATATCAAAACTATTGTTGCTGAAAAACGTGGCTTGAACATTCATTTTTTATCGTTCACTACGTTTTCCTTGTGTTGCTAGTGGACCCACAATACGGTCTCCATGCATAACACTGACTGACTGAGTTTGGTTTTACCTCGCTTTTAGCAATATTCCAGCAACATCACGGCGGGGAACACCAGAAATGGGCTTCACACATTGTACCCTTGTGGAGATTCGAACCCGGGTATTCGGCGTGACGAGCCAACGCTTAAACCACTAGGCTACCCCACCGCCCCTCCATGCATAACAAAGAGAGACCACACAACACTTTAAGAACAGTTTAAGTCTGACAGACGTACTATATTTTACACGAGGTGCAATAATAAAAAGCAAGTACCAGTGAGAACAGTTAAAAGTCTCACTTTTTGATAACATCATCTTCCATGTCCATACAAGATCCACAGAATATCAACACACAAAAAACCATTATACGAATCTTAAGCACTAAATACCTCATTCACATTATGCCGACGAGGCATATTCCACTTATACCGTGTTACATGCACCGATTTGCACATGTGAATAAATTTGCATATATGCAAAATTTACACACTGGAGTAAATTTGCACATGGGAGTATATTTGCTAAGCGTTCACGTGACAATTAAAGTCACCCTAGATTTCTGCAGTTACCTTTCTGATGTAAAGATGGACAGACGTCTTTTTTTCGCTTCTCAGAGGAGGAAATGTTTTACTTTTTTCCTGAGTGTTGGTCTTTCGTGTGACTTACTAAAAGAGAGGACCTGTTGGCGAAAAGAGAGATCCACTGACTGGTAGGACCGAGTTGTCATGACATCATCTTCCCATGATGACTGGAAAAACAGTTTCAGAATGTCCAAGACTACCTTTGACTTTGTCTGTTCTGAACTTAATGAAACTTTGAAACCTACTGGAAATTGTGTCCATGAGCCAGTAAGCGTCGAGAAACAGGTCGCAATTTCAATATACTGGTTAGCGTCATGTTTCGAATACAGAACAGTTTAAAACCTATTCTGTGTCAGCAGATCAACTGTGTTGAAGTGTGTACACAATGTTTGTAACAGTTTAACAGATACTTTAACCCACAAATATGTAAAGTTTGCAAAAGGTAATGACCTCAAGGAGGTCATTCAAGGATTTCAAGACACCTGGGGCTTCCCCAACTGCGGCGGCGCCATTGACGGTTGCCATATTGCTATTATTGCACCAGAGGAAGCACATTGAGATTATTTGAATAGAAAGGGATTCTATTCGTTGATTTGCAAGCTGTGTGTGATCACAGATATCTTTCGAGACATAAACATTGGCTGGCCGGGCAGAGTGCATGATGCACGTGTTTGGGAACTCTGAAATATATCACACAGGTGAAAATACGCAACTCTTTAAGGAAATTGTGCTACCAACTAAAGAAGCAGCAATACCAGTTATGTCCTGCATATCCATTGAAACCTTTTCCCAAACATGGTCAGTTGACTCCCCAACAGCAAACATTCAACTATCGACTTTCACGTGCAAGGATGACCATTGAGAACTCATTCGGACGTCTTATGGGACGATGGAGGTGTATGCAAAAACGTCTAGATGTGAAGGTCGACTTTGCTTGCACCATGGTTGCAGCTTGTGTTGTTTTGCACAACATACGTGAAATGCAGAATGAAGAGTATGACCAGGGGCTACATTTTCGAAGCTCTCTTAGCGCTAAGATAGTCGTATGTTAATGTTAATGCATGGCACTTATGACTATCTTAGCGCTAAGAGAGCTTCGAAAATCTAGGCCCAGGAATGGAATGAAGATAGAGATGATGCTGATACGTTCACGAACTAATCAGAGATTGATCTACTAGACGTTCTTTATAATCATGTTTCAGATACCATGACTTATATATGATGACTTCCAGATGACTTACCCATTTAATCTGTTCCAACTACTGCTTCATATATTAAAATACTTTGATCGTGTTTCTCTTTTATGTATGTGAGATGACCAGGAAGGACGTTTTCAACAATAAAACAGTTAACAGAAATGTGATCAAAGCTTCTCATTTACTTAAAAAAGTACAAAAGGTTTGAAGCAATTGTCTCCTGGCAGAATTTCAAACAAAATGTCATCTTCGACAAACTGAACTTAAGACAAATTAAACCACCAATCTGAAAATGAAATCTTCACCAAAACAGGTTCATGGTTGATGCCAGTAAAGGGAACCCAGTGGAATGAATGTCTTTCGACGTTTACAAATTGTAATAAGATCTGTTTGAATCAGCGCTGGATTCCTCGTCGACTG